AAGTTTAGGGCCAAGAAATAAGACTTGACCCACTCCCTATCCTCAGGACCCCTCGCGAATGACTTTAATTATGACTGATCATAAGTATAGTTGATAGAGGGGGATGGTTATGAAGCGCAGCAAGAATCAAAGGAGTAAATAAAGATTCTAAGATTTATCTTGGAAGGTAAATGTCCGTGCACAATCTTTTGTTTTGCGTTTAATTATACGCTATGCATGAATTATGTTTCAAGTGACGTCATTATTTTCAAAAATTACAATTACTAATCCTTCTGAAGTTTTAGTTTCATCAAATGTATGACACTCCAAGAACTTCACGTTTTACAACTTTTAAGCTCCCCAGAGTTCTTCGTTTTGTATTAGAAGCCGTTTGGACTTCCAAGAATGCTCTCGCGTAGGTTAAAAGATGAGTTATAGCCAACGTTTTTGCTAACGGAAATGTTTTCCACCAGTAGAAGTATTAGTTTTAATGTGTTGGGGCTCATAGCTTTTTGCGGTTCAATAGTAAAGATCTGATAGATTTTTCTTTACAGCCGCCATGCTGGCACCCATCCGGATGGGCAACAACATGGCGTCTCCATACAAAGTTCTAATATATAGATTTAGGCCAGCCTGAAAGCGTAGCTCCTACATGGGCCGGATTGTTTAGAGCACGACTAAGCTAACCCAGGAAAAGGTAGAATTTTGATTCGAGTTTTGTAACTTTGCGGTGAGGATTTCTGTATATTATTTGGCCTTCTGTTTTGAGTTTCAATAATCACCATATACACAAAACAAAAAAACAAAAAACATTTGTATGGAAGAAAAAGTTATAACTTGGTTAACTATTAATCCTGGGTTAGCGTTAACCGGCTCTTGAACTTCAGCAAGTTAAATATAACTTGACATGAGCCCGCGATGCAATTGAAAACCAGCACTTAGTCAGCGGTTCACTTCAAAAAATACGTGACATCGATGAGCCGCAAACTTGAGTCCGCGACATAGCCACGTGATACTGGTAAGCGGATACTTTGTTTTGACAGGTGTCAATTGATGATAACATGGATGTACGATATCAAAGAAGTACACATTAAAGCAAGTCTGCTTGTCTCTGTCAACCTATTATTTGGAGTATGGCCGCCATGTTGCGGGACTCTGTCGTCGCCGCCGTAGCCGTCCTGCGTGCGCGCCCACGAGCAATACCGCTAGTCATGACAACCATGAGAAAATCAACTCATGGGTTTCCTTTTCCTTCCTATATGAGTATGGGGCTCCGCTAATAACCATGGGAAAATCAACTCATGGGTTTCCTTTTCTTTCCTATACGAGTATTGGGCTCCGCTTGGCGGCCGGACGGAGCTCCGCTATAAATCTGGGTGAAACGCGCGAATAAAAAACCGCACAGGCCTAAATCCTGATGAGGTTGACTAGATATCAATGACCTGTCCTAGATTCTTGACTGATTTGTCGAATTGTTGCGATTTTTATTTTTGATGGCGTGACAGTGAAAATACCCCTTTTTTTTTGTTCCTTAATCAGAAGTAAACAACAGTTGTGTTTTGTCAAGGCTGAAAAAGTTAACAAAAACATACAACAAAGATCTTTGTCGGGTTTCATAACCATTCCCCGCTATAAGCTCTGTTTTCAGTGATTATGATTTGACCGTGAGTGATCTCCCTGTCATTCAAACCTGGATCACGTGATGCTTCGAATTGGTGCAACCAAATTCCCCTCCCCAGAGTCAATAAATAATGACATGTCCCTTGTTAAATCAAATTCACAGAGATTAACATACAAGAGTACAATAGAAGCTATAAAAGTAAAACAAAGTACGAACTGTTCATACTAATTAGTAATAGCAAAGCAAGACCTCTTCAAGGAAGGAATTATATTTCTATCGAAAAATAGAGCTTTTAATAGACACTTTTTCATTTACACTTCGTTGAACGTTGTTTCTTAGTTAATTACTCGAAGGCTGCATCCTACTGCCAGCCGAAAGATTATTTTCTGACAAGTTTTGAACTTAAAAATGTTTTTAGTATTTTGTTGACAATGAAAGATGAGCTTCAAGTAGTCGACACTGTTCATAGTTGTTAACTAGGTACTTTTATTCCCTTTTTAAGTTTTTTTCTCTAATCTATTCAAGTTACCGTTTATCTATCTAGTTATTGATATATTTTTATTATCATTTCTTTCATTTTGATCATTAATCTTTCTAACTTCCTGTTGGTCAGTTAGCTTCTGGTGTGAAGGTATATACCTGCCTTCTGTCCGATTATCTTCTAGCCTTCCCAGGTCCTTTCAGGAAGATTTACAACGTTATTATTCTCGTCAGCACAAGCTGAATTCCCAGGAAACAGTATGACGTTGTTGAGAGTGTAGACGTCGGCTTCAAGAATATCTTGTAGCTTTTTGACGGTTACCTGCTGAGTGAGAGTTCCCAGTTTATCATTGACGTTGTTTCCAATCACAGCAAAACTCTCTGTTTTCTGGCCATATGGGCGTACACAACAACCAGCGGTCCACATTGAGTTAGGAATATTTATCT